TGCTCATAGGTCAAAAATCGATCGTGATTGATTGCAAAAAATGAAAACTAGACACGTACTTTGGGACGGAGGGAGTACTATTATTATTATTATTATTATTATTATTATTATTATTATTATTATTATTATTATTATTATTATTATTACAACTCTAATTGTTTATTGTATTCCGAATATAATTTCACAACTTTTGTCTTTGTTTATAAAATCCACATACGATAAACCGAATGTTGACTTGAAGAGATGCGGACGTTTTGTTTGTCGCATAAATATATGGGATTTTTTTAACCAGAATGGAGTAAGCAAAAAAATTTACTCGGTGAATCCAATCCAGCTAACACCCTAATTATAAAAGTATATTGAATGTGCATTTGAGGTTCTTTTTCTTTTGTTCGCAAATAAATCTTTCTCTTATATACTCCGTATACATTTTAGCTACATTTTTTTTATTTTCCCAACATTTTTTTAAACACATACGAAGTAGATACAATACTCTTTATATAATTAGAGATCAGAAGCAAGACTTTTATGAGGCGAACTAGTACTACCTCCGTCTCAGTGAAAAAGAGTTCATGTTTTGACTTTTTTATTCAGACAGTGATTTTTTTAAGAAAAAATTATGCAAAAAAGTATAAATATGTTCAATTAGAATGTATTTTTGCGAAAAAGTATAAATATGTTCAATTATATCAAAAAGTATAAATATGTTCAATTAAAAAAGTATCAAAATTTGCCAAAAAAATCAAAACAAAATTTGGTGTGTTGTATTTATGATCCGAAATAGACGTGTGATGGGCGGATTTTAATGAATAAAGAGACATACATGAAGAAAAAAAGAGACATGCATGCATGTTATGTGCTTAATTAGTTGGACTTTGACATGTTTAACTGAGACAACGTTTTAGCTTCCAATTTTGAGTCCCAACTGCACATGTCGTCTTTCCAATTAAATCTGTGGCTGTTTTTTTCTTTGGTACAAAAGGTGTGGGCGTTTGTGTGTTCTTTTGTGATAAACCCTTGGCGGTGGACGTGACAAATGACAAGTTTTGAATTTTGTTGAAATATACTCATTCTCTCCCAAATCTAATTACAAATTGGGATTTATGTGGTAAAATCTTATAGTTTTTGAAATGGTTTTAGTCACAAATTGCTATATCATTAAAAAATAAAAATTACATATTAGTAAACATAGTCAAAAGTTCTACTCCGATCCCTTCATTCTTGAAAATACTTCCGTCCTAATTTTATTCTACCTAAAATGTCTAAAATACTTCCAAAAAAACTTTTACCCGCATAAACTACATAACGGTATGTATTTTAGACATTTTAGGTGGAAGCAAAAGTATTTTATGAGATGCCCAAAAAATTAGGGCGGAAATATTTTTAAGAACGGAAGGAGTATAAACTAAGAGGTGATATGAATTTTAATTTTATCAAATAATCTATAAAAACACACAAATAAATAAAAGTTATTGAGAAGAGAGAAAAAAAATTGTAATCAAAATTAAAGCGGATGGGATAACTTAAAACGTCTTAATATAAGATGGTTTCATTGATCACAAAATATCTTTATATACATGCATAACTCCAACGTAATTGTTGGCCCAATTGTAAATTCAAAGTTTCTCTGGAATAATGAAATCACTTATAAATTGTTTATAAATAAAAAAATAAGTATGACTTACTTACTTATTTTTGAATAAATCTTTTTTTGTTTCTCTATCATGACCAAACTATTTACAAAACTGTCATGCCTCTTTTATGAACATTCCAAAAGAATTATCTTTCACTTAAGTCATTTTACATTTATGAAAAAATATGTAACTATAAACAGCAAGTTTATAAGTTAAAAATGATTTGTCAACAATAAGCTAATTAATAACTACGGCACAAAAAACAACCCTATATAGAGGTTCCTAAAAACAACAAGTTTAAAAGGTGGTTTTTAAAATACTCCGTAATATGTATAATTAGGATTGTTTCATCAAAATTGAGTTCCTGCTAACAAAAGTTTGTTACTAGCAATTTTCAATTTTGTGGTAAGGAGTCACGGTTCTTGTTATTTATCAAAATAGAATAAAATACGAGATATCTTAAAATAGTCGAAAACTAACTCGGAAGAAACTTTTCGTTCATCCATCTGTCACACTCAGTTGCTCCGTCATGTGTTGTTTCTTTAAAATTTACTATTCTGTTTCAGAAATTAATGTTGGATATTACCACATGTGATGGGAAACACTGGGAATTGGTTCATTCGGTTTTGGTTGGGTCAATTTAACTAATCATATTGGATCGATTCTCATTTGGTTTGTGTGATTTTCGGATCAATTGATTTCAAATCACTTGGTTTTTGGTTGATCAAACTTGTCTTTTTAAAAACTACACTAATTGTGAGGAATGAAGGGGGGAATTAGATGATGTGGAAGGAGAAAGAAGAGAAAAATGATTAGAAATGAGAGGGGAATATTATTCTCCTAGAGAGAGAAAAAAAGTTACTCGCCAATTATTTGTTTTAATTTTTTTATATGAGTAAAGAGATGACGTGTGGAAAAAAATAATTAGAAAAGTAAGGAAATGATTAGAGAAGGGCGAACAAAATTGAAGGAGTAAGTGACGTAATATTAAAAGTAGATGATGTGGAGGAAGAATAAAGGGGACTGAGTAGTGATGTTCTAATAACTTTTGAAAAATATAATCTTTTTTTGTATGGGTAATCTTTGATTCAATTTCACTTCAAGAGGGTATTTTCGAGTTTGATCTGATTCAGCTATTTTGGATTGACCCATTCATATCTAGTGGGCTAGAATAGAATGCAAATTGGGTCAATTTCACCGATTGGGCTATTTCGGATTGGCCATTGGGTCAGCAAAGTATAGAAAATTGGACCGTAGGTATTATTTTTTTACAGACCACTAACATCTAGGCAAGTCCATCTTAATAGATAACTGGGTCCAGACTGACAATACAATGCTGCGTCTAACGGACACAAGGTTACAAAAAAAAAATTCACGGTCCAAAACACAAATACTCTGTATTAGATCTTGCAATCGAAATAATGATGAAACCAAAATTGATCCAACATTGCTTAATTAGATATTTACTTTTGCTTAATCAGATTTTTTGCATCTTCTGAGTTTATGATAATCATCATAAGACCAAATAAAATTGACCGAGACTGAATTAAAAAAAGGATAGGTTTTAACTAAAACAATCTTCTCCTCAGTTTATCTTTTTTTATTTATTAATTATTCATGTTAAAATCTGATTAGACCAAATCACATCAGATTAGATTGTACTTTTTCATTTCACTTTTTATTGCATCAATTTAGGTTTAGTTTTAATGTTAGTGAATTATTTATTTAATATTCTTATTTTAATTTAACTCTGACTTAAATAAAATAAAAAAAAAGGTTTGGGCGTGACCCACACCAATGTCTAATGAGGACTGTGATGAGAAAAAGATAACTTAATCTAAAGCTGAATGGGATGAGCTGATAGATGTGATGAGCATCATCACACCTACTAGCCATATGTCTAAAATTTTACATTGGATAGAATAACACATTACCTGAACTTCTCTCTTCGTGTACGTGAGTGGTAGAAAGTCTACTCTCTAAAATAGTTCGGGTCGTAGGAGAGGCGGATACAACACATTAAGTCAATGTACGTCATTAGTTAAAAAATGTAAATAAATAATAAATTATAACCGAGTTAATATTACTCAAATTATAAAACAACATTAGGAAATTAGGATTATTAATCACTTAGGCTCTAAACTCAAGGCCTTTTCACACGAGCGGCATTGTGTATTTGTGTACTTAGCTCCAGTGTATAAATAGTGCAAGGACTGTTGGAGGACACACTGGTAATTCCGCCCAATGATGTCATGATGAGATTCCATTTTTAGGAAATTTTACTTCCATCGGCTTGTAGACTAGAAAGTAAAGTCGTCCAAAGAATAATACTCTATTTTACTTCGATCGGCTGGTAAACATTTTTAACTTATACCGCCAGAGTTTCACTAGAAATATCTGAACTACTAGAGTTTCAAACATTTCTTTTTTATTTTTGAATATACATTTCATAAAGAAAATTAATAATATTTGATCAATTAATTAAATTAAAAGCACAATAATTCATTAAATAAAAAATACATTAAATAAAAGAAAGTGCATTAAATTAAAAACACAAAAATACATTAATTAGAAAAATACTACTCCCAAATATATTTAGCCATGATCTTGTTTTGTTTTTTGGGTAATTTACCTAAATAGGAATAAAACGTAATGTCTTTCTCAATATAAAACTATATGTTTTTTTTAAATTTAAGATCATAAGTTATTATCTATTAGTCATTATTTTACTAAATGTCCAGCACTTGGAAAGAGCTAATGTGGCACTGCAAGGCATTCATCTCTGTTGCTGCTCCACATGCTCTTAGAGCATCCACCCGGGTGCGGAACTTTTGTGCGCTTGGTGAATTATTTGCACCCCAAGGTTGGATTTTGGAGCATTTCTTACCTTTTTCAATAGGAATCGAGAACTTGGGTTTATGTCATTTGAGACCTCATGCTCGTTGAGATATGCCCACCACTTAAATCACTTGATAGGCTCATATACTTCTCCATTACACACCTTTTAATGTGAAATTGCCTCAAATTGTAAACCTCCCTAGCATGAAATGAAATTGTCTCTCATCCACCTAAATGCCTAAATCACATACGGAGCATAAACACATACCTGTGGGCTAATGGGAAATTAGAACCCATTTGTTTGATTTGATTATTGAAATGAAAGAAAAATTGATGCAAGAAGAGACTGGAATGAATAAAGTGTGTGGGATTAGGTTGTGTCATCATAATTAAAGGTGAAAGAGCAGTTGGCAGTCGCTTGTCAGTCTTTTAAGGTCAGTAGCTGAGCTTGGGCAGGTAAAAGATGCCAATTTTTATATTCTGCGGCCCATTTTCGCAAGCACACAGTCGGTGTCTTTGACGCTATCTATCTGAATTTTTTATTTTTATTTTAAACCCGGCATCTGGCTGACGTTCACAGCTATCTGCTAGTCCACCATCAAACCCCCAATTTCAGCCCTTTCTTTGAAGGTTCGTTCATCATCTACAATTCCAGAACTCTGATGGGATTTCCCATTCTTGGCTACCCAGTTTTACAATATCTTCAAAAGGGTCATTGATTCCGAGCTTCTTTGGTAAGGAATCGGTATGTTTCTGCAAAAGCACCTTCCTTTACCTCTCTTTCCCCGGTCCCTTGGTTATTCTTGGTCAGACTTTGGGGAGGCGTGATCCTCACATTGTCTGCATCAGCTCGAACAAGATTTTGAAGTCTCGTTTGGATCAAGACTAGTTTTGAAAAACGAGATAATTGCAATCATGGCCTGTGTGGGTAATAATACAGTATAAAACACCACAGGTAGAGAGAAAGAAAGGGAATCTGCTATCTTTTCGTTCATCTGGTGAGCTGTGACTGGTTCCTTTTTTTTCGTTTCTTCGTTGTCTACTTTATGCGCTGTTGAAAGTTTCTTACTTTTTTATTATCATAAGAGTAAAATAGATCCAAGGGTTCTTGAGGCTGCTGTACAAGCTTAGATTTTATGCCTGTGACATTGGATTTCCTCCTTTTCATCTGTGACCGAGAGGTTTCTTTACCTTTCTTTAGCTCTATAAAGCTGTCAAGTCTCTTTGTTCCTTGTTGAGTCCTGCAAGATATTTTACCAGCTGTTCTTCTTTTCTGGTCAAACCCATCTTACCTTTCTGTTAAATCCAATATAGTTCCTCGATCTTGTGTTTCCCATACAAATTTGAGGCTTTACCCTTTTGAAGGTGCACGGAGTGAACTCCACAAATTCTGGCTAGTTGCTTCTTCTTTGTGGGGTTTTTTCTTGTTAAAGAATGGGTACAGAGGATCATGGTGAGATGGGGCTCCGATCCACTTTTGGCCCACCAGCCGGGATAGACCCAATATCCTTTTGTGGCACTGAGTGGGATCCTATTGTGAACCAGAGTTTGCATTACCCAGTTGTGCTTGATAATCACCTTGATATTGTTCACAAGGTTCCAGCTTTTGGCAATGGAGATTTCACAGGCTCATCTGGCCTGTCAGATTGTCACCTGAATTATAATCTTTTGCCTAATGGAAGAAAAAGAAGAGCATCAGATTCTCTTCCTCCTTCAATTGCTAGTAAGGTATAATAGAATGTTGGATCTATACTATGAGTCTGTGAGATCTGTTATGTATGTATCTGGGTGATCATCTGTTAGACTGCCTGCAGAATATTGAACCAGCGGGAGACTCTTGGGAAGAAGATGAAGAGAAACAGAAAAATGCTGAGCAAAACTCAAATTCGAGGAGTAAGAAAAGTGGAAAGCAAGTCAAAGATAATAATTCCAGCAGTGGGGAACCTCCTAAAGAACATTATGTTCATGTGAGGGCTAAACGTGGCCAGGCGACTAACAGCCACAGCCTCGCCGAAAGGGTAAACTCGTCATTTGCCATTGTCTTTATGAGGGATTGGATTTACGCTTTGGATGTTCAGTTTGTTTTTCTGGCTGGCAGGTGAGAAGGGAGAAGATCAGTGAAAGAATGAGACTGCTTCAAGAACTGGTTCCTGGCTGTAATAAGGTTGTGATTTGCTTTTCGGCTTCCTTTATTTAAATTCTTGGTCATTTTACCCTGCTGGTTTTTGTTACTGAAAAAATAATTTTTATGAGTTAGATCACTGGGAAAGCCGTTATGCTTGATGAGATAATTAACTATGTGCAATCACTCCAGCAACAAGTCGAGGTACCACGTTTGGCTATCTCAATTGAAGAAAAAAAATGTTTTTTTTACTTGCTGATTCTTAGCATTACATTAACTGTGTATATATATCTCACAGTACATTTGATTCTTTAAGTACATTGACAACCCTTGGTCTTACATTCATATATTTTCCAGTTTCTATCAATGAAGCTTGCTACTGTGAATCCAGAGATGAACCTTGACATTGAACGAATATTATCCAAAGACGTGAGTACGGAAAGAGGGATATGCACCATAGATTTAATGTGTTTTTTGCAATTTTTGAACTTATTTGAAGCGCAATTATATTCTTCCGTGTAGATTCTTCACACCCAGTGCAGCAATGGAGCTCCTCCTCTTCATGGTCTTGCTCAAGGATTCAACCCATCACATTCTTTCCCTAACCTTCCGCTGGGTACATTCGGCAGTCTCCCCACTGCAACACCACCATTTCAGCCACTGCCTCCGCAGGTAAAACTTTAGGCTCCGTTTGGTAGACTTATTTCTTACCCTTTAAGAAACTTTCAGCAAATCTCTTCAACCAAAAACCCTTATTAGGACTGTCTCTCCCTCAGAATAATGACTAGAAAATGTTACGTATCAATTGGGTTCAGTCTTTTACAGTAATATGGTTTGATTCAAATGTATCATATGACTCGACTATGAATTCGTGTCACATTAAAAAGGAAGTTTAATATGACACTGGTGTTATGTGCAGAATGTGTGGGGAAGCGATATCCAGAGATATCTTCCGATGGGATTCGATTCTAATTCGTGTATGAACAACACTATGGGACCAAACTAAATGGTAACCATCCATAGGGACCAGAAAATGACCAAATGGTAACCATCCAAATGGGATATGTTTGGTTAGCAGATTCAGTTACCTTCTCTACTCAGACTGGATTCATCACAAGCAAGAAGCTGCAGATAAATTGTTTTCCTAGTTGTATATGCGGTTTAGCTCTTAACTCTTTTGTCCTTCCAATTTTAGCAGAAGAAAGTACAACATTTTCTTATTCATAACTATTCAGTGTTGGCTGACATTAACTTTAGCGTTTAACATTGAAGTTTTAAAAATATCATTGTTGTTTTTAGTGCATTCGTCTCAGAATGTTTGTCCACTTTTACATTTTTGCAGTAAAAATTGATAAACGTTGATTATTAATTAAATAAAATTTATATTAGAAATTGTTAAAAAAATAATATTATTAGATTTAATTGTAAAATATTTTCAAAATATTGTTTATCTAATCAATACATCACGTGCTCTATACTTTTTATACTTTGAGGTATTTAATTATAGATCAAAAATCGATTTTGATAAACTGTAAAAAAGTAATGCTTGACAAATACTCTATAACAAAGAGAGCATAATTTAGATTGTGGTTTCCTTTGGGAGTAATGTTTGTGATTAGCATCTGTGTTTTAGATAATTCGGGAGAGTGTTAGCGTTTGCGGGGGGAGCGAGAAGTTTTTCTCTTGAAGTATCGGTGTCTACTTCTAATCGTTTTTCATCTTCTCAATTTCTAAAAGAAAACACTCACAAATATAATTTTCCAGCTCTTTAGTTTCGCACACAATTTCTTTGAAGAGAGATAAAAGGACGACGAGATCCTGACTTTCCTTAATAACCCTCCATCCCAACTCCACCTTGCTCTCACCCCTTGCCCCCCTCCCTACACTCGTATCATGTTTTTTTAATGTATTCTCCCTTCGTCCCAAAAAATATTCTTGTTTTAGTTTTTGCGCATCTCATAAAACATTTTTCTTCACATTTATAATGTCTAAAATTTTTCACACTTCTTCTTTATTGTGGATAGAAGTTGTTTTGAATTTTTTTTGACATTTAAGGTAGGATAAAATTATTTCATGGAATGCGCAAAAATGAAACAAATGTCTATATGATTATTTTAATTAAAGTGAAAGTACATAATACTTTAGAAGCTAAAAATAATGTTTAAACATTCTCTCTAACAGTGGTAAATGCTTTTCTTTCTTTTCACTCAAAATTATACAGTAGTCATATTTTTTCTTTCTTTTTTAAGTGGTCTTTCTTTCTTTCTTTCTTTTTTAATCAAGAGAAGTTAATCATTTTTTTTCACGGTTTAACTCGATCAAAAATTGAAAATCAGACAAAAACAATCAATTTTTTTGTCAAAGTGTCATATTCAACAACTCATCAACCTACGAGATTTCAAATCTCAATTAACTGAAGGGAAATTTTTGTCACAACTTTCGTGAATTCCAAACCATTCAAACTAGCTGACTTTAGGGGCCAAATTTGTACTTACTCCCTAAAAAATATACTCTCTTCGTCCCTAAATATTTGCCACACTTGTAATCTCGAGATAAAATATCAAATTTATTCTATTCATTTTATTTACATGTTGATATATAACTAAAAAATAAAATTTACATATCAAAAAACTACATGAAAAGTTCTTCAAAATAAGAAGCGTCAAGAATATTATTTTTATCAAATAACCAATGAAAACATAGAAATAAACAAAAGTTCTCGCGACTGCTGAAAAAGCAAATGTTGTAAATATTTTGGGACGGAGGGAGTAGATGGGACCTACTCACGTAAAAAATATTCCATCCGTTCCTAAAACATTCACACAATTTAACTTTTTTGGTTAAATTATGATACCCTTTGACTGTAAATTATGAAAAATGTATATTTAGTTATAATACAAATTTATTAAATTTGGATTTAATTTAAAATATAGTTTTGAAATATCAAACTTTTATTATGTTTAATTATTTTAAACTATATTTAGTTTCTGGTCTAAGGGTGCCACAATTTGACAAAAAAAAGTCAATGGAAATCTTTCGCCTCAATTTAAGTTGTATATTTATTATTTATAGAGTCAAATTTTAACAACCTTCATTACTCATTTTTAGTACTTCTCTTGATAAAATAATATAATCATGTCAACTTTTGTTTTGTAGAACTTTAGATATACCAATTTTTGCACAAAGTAAGTTTAAAATAATTTCTGTCAAATATCAAAAATCGAAAGGAATAATTCAAATTGGGAGAAAGAGAGTATGTTATTACTTCCGTCTCGTAATAATGTTTCAGGGTTGATTGAAGACGTATTTTAAGAAAAAAAATAAAATTGTATGATTGAAAATAATTCAAACGAATGGCAAATAATAATAGCCACAAGAGCCTCTCTAGAAATGGAAATTGGAATCTCTTTTTTGGGACGTACAAAAAAATGTAGAATAGTATTGTAGGACACAGGGACCGAAGTATTATTTGAACTTCTGATAAATTTTGTTTGTTCTCAGGTGTATGTATTCATTGATCTGATAAAATGTTCATGTCGTATCTTGTTTTGTTAGATTTTTTATATAGGTTCGCAAATAATAAATTCTTATACATCGTATAGATATAAGGTTCACATAAGAAACATAAATGTGTGTGTGTGTGTGTATATGTGTTTTTTATGCGAACCTTATATCTATACGATCATTACGATGTATAAGAATTTATTATTTGCCAAATCATGGATACTTTAAAAATATCTTTTTAAATCTTGTAGTAGTACTAGATTTAGTTTTAAAAATATGGTTATAGTCTTATGAAAAACTAATTTAAACATTATTCTAAGGCTTTGTTTGATACACGAAATTGAAATTATAGAATTAGAATTGAGGATAACAATACTAATTTTGTTGGTTGGTAGCAAAAGAATAAGGCCCCGTTTGGTACACGGAATTCAAATTATGGAATTGGAATTGAAGACTTCAATTCCAATACTGGTGTTTGGTAGCACAAAAATTATGTGGATTTGGAATTGGTAATGCAAAAAATGAATTGGAATTGATGAATTCAGTTCTATGGAATTGAATCCCATGGAATTTTAATTCCAATTCAATTCCAATTCCATCAATTCCGTGTGCCAAACGGACCTAAGTGAATTTGGAATCGATAATGCCAAAAATGAATTGAAATTAGAGAATTAATTCCATCCAGATAAATTTTGAAGTCCGTTTGGTACACGAAATTGGCAGAATTAAAATTGAATTGAAAGTTGATATTCTATAAAATTGATTTGAATGAAATTGAATTTTTGAATTCCAATTCATTTTTGGTACTACCATTTCAAAATCTACACATTTTTGTGCTACTAAACAACAAAATTAGAATTGTTATTCTCAATTTCAATTACAGAGTTTGAATTTCGTGTACCAACTAAAGCCTCAGGCCCTGTTTGGTACATGAAATTCAAACTATGAAATTGGAATTCGGGACTTCAATTCTAATTCTAGTGTTTGATAGTACAAAATTATGTAGATTTGGAATTGATAGTGCAAAAAATGAATTGAAATTGACAGAATTCAATTCTATGGAATTAAATCTCATGGAATTACAATTCCAATTCAATTCCAATTGCACCAATTCCTTATACCAAACGGACCCTCATAGAATTTCAATTTTCAATTTAATTCCCATTCTATTTATTCTCTGTATCAAACGGTTACTAAAATGACTTATGATAAACACCTAATGTTCTAAAAATATACTCGTGATTCATTTATTTAATTAATTCTACCTCTTAACAAATATCAATACGCAAAATATTTCAAGAGATTAGTGTATTATATAAATTACTACTCCCCTCCGTTCTCAAAAACACTTCCTCTTTCATTTTTTTCACTTCCAACAAAACACTTCCACTTTCTATTAAAAAACTACTTTTACCTTTACTTTTTCATACCCTACCTATCACATCATACTTTTTCTCTAATAATCTATCCATCACATCTTACTTTTACTCATCACATCAAGGGCAAAATTGGAAGTCAACTACAATTTAACACTTCCTTATTTTTTCACTTTTCAAAGTAGGAACTCTTTTTGAGAACGGAGGGAGGATAATGCAACCGAGCACTGGTGGTATATGTCAACATCTTGCATTTATCTGGAGGCACTGTATGAATTTTAATTTTGTACATTTTTTTCTTAAATTGTGGAATACTGCGCAATTTTTATTAGTAATTAATCTATGTGCTGATCTAACAGAATTGATAACAGGGCAGATATATTACTCCGAAATAAATTATATGCCATCGGCATCCAAAAAAAAAGAAAAATTTCAAGAAGCAAAAACCAACAACCAAAATGCCAAAGTAGTAAATAGGATTATTAATTTCCTACTTTTAACCTTAACCCTAAGGATTTTTCACATATACCTCAGGATCTTTGGATGTTTGTGAACTCTATAGGCCCTCCATCGTCGCTCACTCCAAATCAGTAGTCAATTTGCGCCATATTAGCGTTGGTTGTACTCACTATCTAACTCACTTTACACTCGTAGTGCCTCACTTCAACAACAATGGTTATACTTTTATTTTTGTTTCATATTTTCCTATTTCATTTCAAATAAAATTTTATCTTTTAAAATATAAATTAAAATTTATTCTTTTTTCCATTTTTCTATTTAAATTTTTTATTTAATATTTTTCTTTTCTTTTAAAGTCCTATTTTTTATTTTTTGGCTTAACTTTTTTCTTTTCCGTTCAAACATTTTTGTTTGTTTTTTGTTACTTTTTTTAATATATAGTGTTGCTTCATATATGACACACTTTTTAAAAAGAAAAAGAATTTTTTTTCAGTACAATTTTTTTCCCACGCCGCACTCAATTTAACTACTCGGGCAATTGCAGGGGTGGTGTTCCATCTCTTTCACGCCAAAGTGGCCAAAACCATGTTGGATCACCAGAGTTTTATGTGATCCATTAGGAATAGCCTTATAGACATTCACATGTACAAAGTATTTGTGCGAATACACCAAATGTGACGTCTTCATTGATATGCATTAATTTTCTTACTCGGTAATAAATAAGTTTAGCCTAGATTTCAAATTAGCAAAAGGAAAATATTGCAAAAGACCCTGTGAGTTGTAATTAAATGACATTAGAACCATGCTAGGGCTTAGTGGTATGGTAGAGATGTGTTGGTGTGCATTTAGGCTATATTTTTTGGTGTGTCCTTATCATTTCTTATGATGTTACTACGATCTTTTCAAATAAGAGGTCATATACTTGTATTTAAGTATTGATGTTCTTATTTAGTGAATAAAAAGAAATATAAATAAATTTATTTATTTTAATATTGATATCATATTTTAGTCTCGATTTAGGGATAACAATGGGTAGTGTTTGGATCGGGTGAAGCTTCACATTTATCCGTATATTAACTATATATCTTTCACCCAATACTTTCTTCTTCTATTTCATACACCACCTATCATATCATCCAATCCATCCATCACTTACAGCTGCTGATATTAATGAAAACATTTTGGTTGGGTTAAATACAAACTAAGCAAAAAAAACAAAAAAAATTGAAAAATAAGAACGTCTAAAAAAGTGAAAATAGATAATCTAGCAAATGAAAAACACATAAATGAAGCATCCGATCTTATATATGATTGCAGGGAGTTAATTTCAACCCTTAGAGGAAATAGACGTCAAAGGTAGAAGAAGATAGCTACCAATTGATAAGAGTTGTCTTTGCCGATATTTAAATTTTTAAAACTTGGATATGAATATATCAAGTGACGAATGACAAAAATTTTCTCATATATCGAATCCAATTTTTGACCAAATTCATCCATTATTTATATTGTTTCTGATTTATCAATTTTGCCATACCTATCTCGATTTTTGTTTAATTTTTCAAAGGCTAGGGTAGGGCAATGCATTTTTCCCAAATTTAAAAAGGACGACACCCATCGTCGGGGGCTTCTCAAGCCTAAATCGGAAAATATATTTGAAAAGTAAATAAAATTCTGATTTTCAGCAAGTAGTAAAAAATGAAAATTGTCCCTAATTTCAACAAAAGATATTTATAGAAAGTATATAAAATATAAATCATCTCACATTTATTCTCTTACGTGACAATAACTCATTTTCACACCCCTCCCCTATTAAACACTTGAACAACTTTTTTTTTTTCAAATGTAAAAGGTTACAAAACGGACACGCACCTTGTACAATCGGAAATTGGAAGAAGGCAGCGGCACAGTTGGGGTCACTCCAACCACAACTTCTCTCAACAACAATTCCCAACGCCAGCGCGGCAGCAGCTACCACACCTCACCGTCACCACCGCCAGAGATAGCGGAACATATAAATTAGACCTCCCGCACAATTCTCCACCGTGTTTTGGTGAAAATCGGAGAAGAGGGAGAAAGAGACAGGGCGCGGCGTCGACCGGCACCGTTCGCAAAAAAAAATGGCGGATCAGTATCTAACCGGTACGGTTCTCGCGGCCCTTTTCGGACTTGCCGCGGCCTACGCCTTCTTTTTCAAGAGAAGCGGCGGCGGCCGTATTGCGAAGGGCGGGGTCAACACCACGAGCGTTGTTAACGGCGATTCCAGATCAAGGAATAGCGGCCACGGCGATGCAGACGTCATCATTGTCGGTGCCGGTGTTGCCGGTGCCGCCCTGGCTCACACACTCGGCAAGGTACGGATCCCTTCACCAATTTTTTTTTTAAATTTTCATTTAATCTTTTCATGAATGGTCTGTGTGCCTGTCTTTGAAGCGCATATATGGAATCTATTTCTTAATCTGATTAAATTGTTCGAATCGCAGGACGGACGAAGGGTTCATGTGATTGAAAGAGATTTGACAGAGCCTGACCGAATTGTTGGTGAACTACTGCAACCAGGCGGTTACCTCAAGTTGATTGAGTTAGGGCTAGAAGGTATGAATTCAAATTTTCCTATACATAATCATCCTCTTTTTTTTTGTATAAATAAACCAATGAAATTTTCAACTCAGAAAATATTAGGACTTCTTGGAGTTAGTTTCTTCTTTGGAAATTTTGAATTTGAAGTGCACAAAATTTCAACTGTATTCCTCTCTGGTCACAGACTGTGTGGAAAACATTGACGCACAAAGAGTGTTTGGATATGCTCTCTTCAAGGATGGGAAGAACACCCAGCTTTCTTATCCATTGGAGAAGTTTCATTCAGATGTTTCTGGCAGGAGCTTTCATAATGGACGTTTCATACAAAGAATGAGGGAAAAAGCTGCTTCTCTTCCCAAGTATATTTCCTATCTTCTAATTCAAAATCAGATTATTGTTTTCTTTACAGTTCTATTTTTCATTGCTGTGACCTGCAGATGTGTAGAACTATCTTTGTGTGTTACCATCACTAATGTTTACCTAGAAGTTAGGTTGACTGTGTTCTTGTTCATTTGCATGCTTACAATGTGCCACTAGGAATGGTGGCCTCAAAAGTTTTTTTAATTGACAACTTTTGTTGTCTATCGAGCAGTGTTCGATTAGAGGAAGGAGCGGTGACATCATTGCTTGAAGAGGAGGGAACCATTGTGGGGGTGCAGTATAAGGGTAAATCTGGTGAAGTTTTGAAATCATATGCACCGTTGACTATTGTATGTGATGGCTGTTTTTCGAACTTGAGACGATCACTTTGCAGCCCCAAGGTAAGAATGAAACAACTCAGCAGGCCATTTATTGTTGAATGCAAATTTTGTCTTTCAATGCCAAAAATATTGTCAATTATGTTAACATTAGCAATTAAATTTGGGACAATTATTTTAAGCACTTGTGGCTGGCGGATCTTGGAGGGGAGGGGAGGGAGGAAAGGAAAGCGAATAAGTTGTGTGTGCATGGTTTGGGAAGGAGGAAAGTGGAGGAGCTGAAAAATTGTCCAAACTCCTTATAACTCACTTTTATGTTTCCAAAACTAATTCCTCACCTCGCATCTCCATTTATCCAAACCATGACCACTTTTAAACCAACATTTTCACTTTTCTTCTCTCCGCTTTCCTCTTTTTAACAGACTAGGGTTAACGCTCCCGAAATGTGCTTTATAAAGAACTACTCAAGGGATAATGGAGTGGCAATTGTGATATTATATTTTAAGTGGCATTATCTACTCCTTATGTTTATCATTATCATTATTGTTGCTTTATCGTTATCTTCATCATCATTATCCTTGATTGCAGTCCTCTTGTTGCTGACTCCAAAAATCACTTTTTGCTTTGTAGGTGGATGTGCCTTCTTGTTTTGTTGGGTTGATCTTGGAGAACTGTCAACTTCCATATGAGAACCATGGACATGTTATCCTTGGAGATCCATCACCTATCTTGTTTTATCCCATTAGCAGTACTGAGATCCGCTGTCTGGTGGATGTTCCCGGTCAAAAGGTGCCATCCATTTCAAACGGCGAAATGGCCAACTATTTGAAGACTGTTGTCGCTCCTCAGGTAAATGTCTAAAATTGTTATAACTACAACAACTACAACATTACCCTAGTGCCTCAATGGCTCCCGCCCATTGCGGGGTAAGGGGGGGTACGCAGTCTGACCCCTATGTTTAAAACATAGAGCGGCTGTTTCCAGAAAATTGTTATAACTAATGGTCCAAAAATGAACTTGTATTCTAATCCTTGTTTCACTCAGGTTCCCGCCGAGCTCTACGATGCATTTATTGCTGCTGTAGATAAGGGCAATATACGAACGATGCAGAACAAAAGCATGCCCGCTGCTCCTCACCCTACTCCTGGGGCATTACTAATGGGCGATGCTTTCAACATGCGCCATCCCCTGACTGGTGGGGGAATGACCGTTGCACTGTCTGATATAGTCGTACTACGTAACCTTCTCAAACCTTTGCATGATCTTCACGATGCACCTTCCCTCTCCAAGTATTTGGAATCCTTTTACACCCTTCGTAAGGTAAAGCATTACATATTCTTGATATTGTTACTATTCTCCTTTTGATTCTTCTGGTCTAGTATTGCATATGGGTGATCTTTAAACAGCACATATTGAGAATTGTTTCTGATTGAGCATGGCCCAAAATTCAACATTTGTTTGCAGCCTGTGGCGTCCACGATAAACACGCTTGCAGGTGCACTCTATAAAGTGTTCTGCGCCTCACCTGATCAAGCAAGAAAAGAGATGCGTCAGGCATGCTTTGACTATCTAAGCCTCGGTGGGGTTTTCTCGAATGGTCCAGTGGCTCTGCTCTCTGGTTTGAACCCTAGACCGTTGAGTCTGGTCTGCCATTTCTTTGCGGTTGCAATTTATGGGGTTGGTCGTTTGCTGCTCCCTTTCCCCTCGCCCAAACGCATGTGGATTGGAGCAAGATTGATTTCAGGTGCATCTGGGATCATCTTTCCTATCATTAAGGCAGAAGGGGTGAGACAGATGTTCTTCCCAGCAACGGTTCCGGCTTATTATAGAGCTCCTCCTCCTTCTGAATGAGCTGCCGTTTGCAGGGTTCGGGAAAAAAAACACGGATCCGATCGTTATATGTTGTATCATTGTCACACATTTTCCTTTTTATGTTTTTCTTCCCCTTCTTACACTACTATACGATGTGTTTGTTATAAACATGGAACATTCATTCTTTGTGCAGCAATTGTATTCTCTTCAAAAAAAGGTCGCCAAATGCCCACCATTCCTTCTTTTATACTCCGTGATGAAAAGAATAAAGTGTGGTTATTTTAGGATGGGCAAAAAAGGCATACTCCAAACTTTGCAAAAGACAGTAAACTTTGGTTCCAAAAGTTGTGGTTACTCTTTCATTTCTTTTTGTGAAATTTGCACTAAATAAGACTAAAACATAATGACTTTCTTAATTTAGGACTTAAACGTTTTTATTCCCTAAATAGGACTTAATAATGTCTTAGTGGGAAGAATAATGTCCAGTAATGATGGACATTTACTTGAATAATGACTAATGAATAATGACCGAAGGTCCTACATTAGGAAATAAAAACATATAGTCCTATATTGGGAAAGTCATTATGTTTTAGTCCTATTTAGTTAAATTACTCTTTCTTTTTCTACCTAACCTTTTGTTTTGTCGGGTAGAAGGAAGAGTCGCGCCTACTCGAATTTCTTGCAAATATTTTACGAGCAAGTTGTCCAAAATGTATGAAATTTCACGCATGTATCATGTATGCATATCCATATCTATAGGACCATAATAGGATTAAAACATAATGACTTTCTCAATGTAGAATCATATGTTTTTATTTCTCAATGTAGGATCATTGGTCATTATCTATTAGTCATTACTCAACTAAATGTCCAACAACACTTGGACATTATTCTTCTCACTAGTCATTATTAAGTCTTATTTAGGAAATAAAAAAGTTTAAGTCCTACATTGGGAAATAACTTATGTTTTAGACATATTCAATGCAAATTTTACTATGTATGATGCTATTACTCCGTCCAAGAATATTTATTCAGTTTTACTTTTTAAAATTAAATCAGATAAATTTTATATTTGAGAAATAACTAAGTAAGACTAAAATATGTTCTATACGCCACAATATGAAGAAATGATATTTGCACTCCATTTTTTGCTATGGACAATCTAAAATATACTATTAACATTTCACATTCATATGAGTAATACATTTTGGAGTGCCAATAGTAAAAAATGGAGTGCAAATATCAGTTTTCCAAAATATGACTTTTAATGTTCTTTTTAAAAAACTTCAAAGTAGGAGCAAATCATAATTTTATCCCCCAAAATAGAAATAACATGCTTTCATCTTCAAAATAAGATTATTACATTGTGAATGATAATGTGACATTATATACTATATATTTTACGATGTTTTTTTGATATTATATAATGATAATGTAAGTCCCATTTTGAAGATAAAAAGCTAAAGGTCATATTTTGTTTTTGGGTGATGCTAAATCCGTTCCTTATTTTGCTAAATCCATTCTATTTATAATCCGTTCCTTATTTTGCTAAATCCATTCTATTTATAATAAATATTTTCCTCTTATTTCGATCATGTTTTCCATGTTTTTGTTTCAAGATAATATTTTTAATTCCAAATATGGTTAAACATAATTCAAAGAATACAAAAATGTCAATACACAATACCAAATTGCAAGATATTTAAAGTATTATCACTTCTACTTATGAGATAAATCATAGGATATTCGTGCATGGAATTTTTTTTTTATACAATTTATCTTATACTCCCTCCGTTCCTAAATAAACTTCCGTTTTTGACTTTTTGAAAATTTAAGGGAGGGATATTTTTGTGTTGACTTTCCAAAAATACCCTTGATGTGATGTGTAAAAGTAAGATGTGATATATAGATTATTAGTAAAAATGTATGATATGATAGGTAAGGTATGAAAAAGTAAGGGATAAAAGGGATTTTTTAAGGGAAAAGAGAAGTTTATTTGAGGACAAAGAAAAAACAAAAGAGGAAGTTTATTTAGGGACGGAGGGAGTAATATATTTTTAAAAAATTATACGGATTATGTTGCATTGATGTGTTATATAGTTATACTCTATATGTCCCTAAATGATTTTTACACTCTTCATTATTCAAAAATCACATATTCTTGTATTTGTTTGTGTGTTTTCATTGATTACTTGATAAAATAAAATATTCATATCACCTCTTGTTTGGTACAATTTCTAATGTACTTTTTAAATATTTAATTTTTTTATTTCTATATTAATTTTTAAATAAAATATTTTGAAAAAACTTAATATTTTACTTCTTTTTTCTTTTTATGTAAAGTGTAAATCATTTGTAGACTATATTTTTCTTAATAATTTTTTAGAGTTTGTTTAATTACTACTCCCTTATCCCTACTTTGGAAGAAAAACATTTTGTTTTCAAATGCCAAGATTAGTCCAACCAACTTAACCGGTAGAGTTTCCATTATTAAACTGCCTAGTATCCATTCTTCTTCTTCTTCTTCTTCTTCTTCATATCTCGTTACAATTTCATTGAAATCCCAAACCCAAATTTGGTTCCACAAAATCCCATCGTTTAGGGTTTCTTTCATTCATCATCCGCCTCTAACAATTTGAAAAATTTCGATTTTTTTTGTTCTCTTTCCATTTTACCCCGTCTTTCATCTTCCCCGTCCCGATCAACCAGACATTCCTTCCAGGGGACATCAATGCGCCCGTTGAATGTGGGTAAAAATCATTTTCCCCCCTCTCGTTCAATCCGTTTGCCATTGTTCACTTTCTTCTCGTTTTAGAAATTAGCATTCGATTGTTTCTTATGCTTTCATGATTTCAATTCGTTACTTTTTTTGTTTGTTTGTTTTTGCGGGCAGTCCAGTTTAGATTTCTTAGTTTGTGGAGTAATGGATGGTCATATCTTGCAGAAGAAACAATGTAGGCGTGCTACAACAAGATGTGTTGTTATTGCTTCACAATAATTTAATGCCCAGTAATAGATAAGGTGTGATTATAAGATAACTGCAATTATTATACACTTATGTCCAGATTTTTATGTTTTATTATAATATTAGCTTACTACATTTTATTTTGCAGGTTTTAGACTTGGTGACTTTATTTTGGCAAGGGTTTGCCATCAGAGCTCATCAGGAGGCTTTCAAGCCTTTAAATGGATGATTTTGCAAATGAGTTTCCATAGGAATACAAAGCGTATTACTATTTTGAGTAGAGATGATTTTATCTGCACTGTTGACTTCTGCTGGTATAAACACAGCAGTCTGTGTGGCTTGTTTCTCTCTGTATTCAGTTCTAAGGAAGCAACCGAGCCTCCTCAATGTATACTTTGGACAGAAGCTGTCTCATGTCCCACTAAAACGCAATGATCCCTTCTGTTTTGAGCGGTTTGTTCCTTCTCCTAGTTGGATTCTGAAGGCGTGGGAGACATCTGATGAAGAAATGAATGCCGTCGGAGGCTTAGATGCTCTGGTCTTTGATCGTACAATGGTTTTCAGGTGATTTCACTTCGTTTTTAAGGCCAATGAATCATTTTTTCCCCTTTTGATGACTAAGAAAAGTTTTTCCTCAAGTCCTTAGTTTTGAAGACAGGTTGATTGTTAGACTTGAAGTTAAGGGTTATTTGGCTTGAATTGTTGAATCTTTTGTATTTTCTTTAGAGAAAAGCATGTGGTAACTTCCGTTGCAGTCAAATTAGTAGTTCAGAGCTACTTATTCTGGTTGATTTTATCATTCCCTTTCAAGTAGAATAAGCAAAAGTTTGCTACCAAATGGAGCTTAAAAGTCAATACTTTGCAAATTCGGAGATTTGTTTTGATGTATGCTTATCTCAGAGCTTATATTTAACTGAAACTTATAATACAGTATCCGCATATTCTCCATTGCTGCTATAGTTTGCCTTTTCCTGGTGCTGCCACTGAACTATTTCGGCCAGGAAGTAAAGCACACGCTGACTCCTGGGGAGTCATTGGAGATTTTCACCATTGAAAATGTCAAGGAAGGGTCTAAGTGGTATGAAATATATATTCCCTTGTTCTCCATCCTTTCATGTTGTAATTACATAAATGCACTTATTTTGGTTTTGTTTTTATCTCCACTTGTTACTTGCCAGGCTTTGGGCACATTGCCTTGCATTGTACATTATCACCTGCTCAACCTGCACTCTTCTTTACTTTGTAAGCGAAATCTGTGAATTACAGTACACCTAAGCTTTCTTGAATAATGTGTTTCGTAGTCATCATTTATGATGGTGGAAAGCTTTTTTCTTAGGAATACAAGTACATCACGAGTATGAGGTTGGCATACATTAGATCATCTATTTCCAACCCAAGTTATTTCACAGTTCTTGTCCGCGGGGTCCCATGGTCTGAAGAAGAAGCATACAGTGAGATGGTGGCAAAATTCTTCACGAATTATTATGCATCAAGTTATTTGTCTCATCAAATTGTATACCGGTCTGGTGTTGTTCAGAAACTGGTGGTCAGTAACATCTGATAGACCTGTCGTTTCTTGTGAGTTCTTGATAATTAGTTAATGGTTGATTTTTTGCATCAACAGACTGATGCAGAAAAAGTGTACAGGATGCTAAAACCTGGACAGAATGGGTCGAGTTTGTTGAGATGTGGAATCTGTGGAGGAAAGTCGGCATCCTTCAAGATTCTCTCCTCTGATACTGAAGTTGATAAAGAAAGAAGGGATTTAAATGGCCCCAATTTGAGAGATCAGGTCTTTCTATCTTGAACCTTGATACTATTGATTAGCTGTACTCTTGGGGATGGAAACCTTTTACCTTAACAGCTTTATGCTTTGAAATAAAGTTAGATTAACATTTAATTTAATCCAATGTTTTCTTCATTTTCTGAAGTGGGACTTTGGATTACAATACTGGCTTATAATGTTGTGTTGGGAAAAGTGTGGAAATGAGATAATGTTAATTCTTATTTGTAGGAATGTGCAGCTGCCTTAGTGTTTTTTAGGACAAGGTATGCTGCATTGGTTGCTTCACAGGGCATTAAATCTCCAAATCCAATGTTATGGGTGACAGATCTTGCTCCAGAACCAAGAGACATGTATTGGTCAAACATTTGCGTACCCTATAGGCTTCTATGGATCCGCAAAATAATTATTCTCATGGCTTCCATATTTTTCGTGGCCTTCTTCCTTGTCCCGGTTTCTCTAACCCAAGGCCTCGTCCACCTTGACAAGCTCCAACACACTTTTCCCTTTCTTAGAGGAGCATTGAAGAGGAAGTTCATCATTCAGCTTGTGACCGGATACCTTCCAAGTGTTGTGCTGATACTGTTTTCTTACAT